CCATCTGGCATGTTGGTAAGGCAACAGAACTAAAAACCTTATTTAGGCTGCTTATGATCTCATACCATTTAACAAGCAAAATGAGCCAACACCATCTTAGATAAGTTACAAGGAAGGTGATGCTTCTAGTCTTGAAGTATATGTATATGTAGTCAAAACAGTCAAGGCAGTAGGAAAAAAAAACACTTAAGGAACTGTATGTGAATCATCATGATCTAGAAATTTACTGGAGAAATTCCGCTCTCTTTTGCCAACAGACCCAAACAAACCAGGAGTAAAGCACAAGGGACAGAAATGTCAATTTAACTTACATACATTGTTCAGTCCAATTAACCAAACTTGAAGGAACATAAATCTGTAATTAACAATGTAATATTTCTAGATTCTTATGAGCATGACAAAAACTCTAGTGGGAAGAAAGCACAAAAGGAAACAGTGCTCTGCAGCTGCTGCAATTTTGCCTTTATCCAACAGAATCAAGTTCTAAATCCCTCAGAGAAACAATTCATGTCAAGATGCATTTCTTGTTCCTTAGTAAAAATAACTTCAATGACACTGGCATCCAACTTAAAAGCAAATGAAAGAAATTCCTCTCTAGGAAAATAATATGAAGGTGCCCCTTTGGACAATAGTAACAGTTTATTAAAAAACACTTCTGAAGTGTTCATTAGCCCTGTAAAATGCTAATAAAATTAAAAAATACGTCATATTTATAGCATTTTGTGACTTATTTTATTTTAATCTAATTTCCATATCACAATTTTGAATTCCAAGATTCTGGAATTTTTGCAATGCAGTATTTCTGTGTTGTTTCGGAATTTACAAGAGTACAAAAATTCCATGTTTCAGTATTGTGTTATATACCTTATATCTTAGACTTATAATAATAGCTTAATTAATAATTGATACCTTATATTTATGCTGATAGCTGTAAGTATGTAAGTAACAAATAGAACAAAGAGTTAAACACAGAAAAAAAACAAATCAAGTGTGCATTAAGCACACTTTTTGTTCTGAAAACAATCTACAGGTTACTTGCTTCTCTTCAATGATGAACTATATGAACAACACTATATTGTTTATTGAAATAAACAGGCAATAAAAGATTGGGGCTGTCATATACAAGACACTGATATTCCGGAGTAAATACTACTTTATCTGCCAAGACACTAATTTGAGTCTCCAGGAGTGCCTAGTATTTCTGAGAGATGTTAAATTGCAACAAGTTGAAACTTGGTATTACAAACTAATAACCACATCACACAAGTTAATAATTCTGGTTTGAATTACTTTGGAAAATTATTGTGATAGGGAATGTTTGAAGGTTTCACCCCCCAGCTGCGCTTTATGTCCATATTGGTAGGAGGCTTGCCAGACTGGTCAAGGATGCTTTAAACTAGATGTGTTGGGGGAGAGGGGCATCATTCCATCCCAACACACCCAGTCAGTTGCCAACACCTATAACAAATGCTCGGAGCAATGTAGGGATATTCCAACCGCTCCAGCAATGAGCTGGCTTCAGTTGGAGCTCGGCTCAGATGCCTCTATACAAACGCCCATAGGATGGGAAACAAGGAATTAGAGACGTGTGCACATCTACAGGGATATGATATAATAGGCATCACAGAAACATGGTGGGATTGCTCCTATGACTGGAGTGTTGGAATGGAAGGTTACAGGCTCTTTAGAAAAGACAGGCCTGGCAGGTGGGGAGGGGGAGTTGCCCTTTATGTTAGGGATAGGCTGGAGAGTATGGAACTCTTGTCTGGGGACAGGTGAGCAGTCCACAGAGAGTTTGTGGGTCAGGGTTAAAGGGAGAACAGCTATGGGAGACATTACTGTGGGGATCTGTTACAGACCACCTGATCAAGGAGAACCTGCAGATGAAGCACTCTACAGACAGATAGGAACAGCCTCATGCTCGCAGGCCCTTGTTCTCATGGGGGGACTTCAACCACTCTGATGTTGGAGAGATGGTATGGCCCAGTACAAGCAATCCAGGAGGTTCCTCAATTGTGTGGAAGACAACTTCCTTCTGCAAGTAATAGAGGAGCTGACAAGGAGAGGTGCCATGCTTGACCTCGTGCTCACCAACAGGGAAGGGCTTGTTGGAAATGTGACGCTCCAGGGCATCCTTGGTTGCAGCGATCATGAGATGCTCGAATTTGAGATCCTCAGGACAGTGAGAAGAGCGTGCAGCAAGCTCACTGCCCTGGACTTCAAGAGAGCAGCCTTTGGCCTCTTCAGCAACCTGCTTAGTAAGGTTCCATGGGATATAGCCCTAGAGGGCAAGGGGGCCCAAGACTGTTGGTTGTTATTCAAGGATCACCTACTACAAGCTCAGAAGGAAGTGCAGCAGGAGGCCCAGGAGACCTCCTTGGATGGATAAGGAGCTCCTGAGGATAATTCAAATAAAAAAAGAGGCTTACAAAAGGTGGAAGCAAGGACAGGCGGCCTGGGAAGAGTACAGGGATGTTGTCTGGGAAGCTAGGGACCAGGTTAGGAAAGCTAAGGCCCAGTTAGAATTAAACTTGGCTAGGGATGTTAAGAATAATAGGAAGGGATTCTATAGGTATATCGCAAATAAAAGACAGACTAGGGAAAACGTAGGCCCCCTCTGGAAGCTATGAGGAGAACTGGCTATGCTGGATTTGGAGAAGGCTGAGGTTCTGAATGACTTCTTTGCCTCAGTCTTCACTGGCAAATGCTCTGACCACACCACCTGAGCCCTGTAAGGCAGACGCAGGGACCGTGAGAATGAAGACCCTAGGCCCACTGTAGCAGAGGATCTGATTCCAGACCATTTGAACCTGAATGTACACAAGTCCATGGGACCTGATGAAATCCATATCCAAATGATTGGATATAAGGAAGAAATTCTTTCCTGTTAGGGTGGTGAGGCACTGGAATGGGTTGCCCAGGGGAGTTGTGAATGCTCCATCCCTGGCAGTGTTTAAGGCCAAGCTGGAAAGAGCCTTGGGTGTCATGGTTTAGTGGGAGGTGTCCCTGTCCATGGCAGGGGGTTGGAACTAGATGATCTTACGGTCCTTTCCAACCCTAACTATTCTATGATTCTATGATTAAAACCTACACTGAAGGAAAGACAATCAACATTTAGTATATTTGGAATCTTCTATACCAGGAAACCACTGAAGAGATATCCAAGTACAGTCACTATTTGAAGTTGCTTTTCCTGGACTAGTCAAAGAAAAGAAAATCATTACAGGATTAGCTCAGGAAATAGTAAACTGAGATTATACTAAGTGTTCCTGTTTGAAGATTCTCTTCCAATCCAAAAGTCACTCACTCAGAGAACAGGTGCTATGGTAACATTAGATACCATGTATATCAGTATTACCCTCAAATGAAAAAAAGAGCATCTTTGAAAGAAAAACAGATTTTTTTAAATACAAATTTATATGCATATCTGGAGTTTGAAATACAAACAATTTTGCAATAGCATGTAATCATAACAGGCGAAGACAGTACAATACCATGTACTTTGAGTTGAAACATTTTCACTAAAGTAAGATCACTGCATCACGCTGCAATGCAATCACTAACTTTGAATACACTAATTTTCAATAAAATGATTTGACCCGTGCCAGTCTGCTGAAGAGAGGAAACTGGGAAAGCAGAACGTTAATAAAATCCGGCAACTTTCACTTGCTGACTAGAGAGGTAGAAGGTGTGGGGATGAATAAAAAAGCGCCTGGAAGTAAAAATCTCTCCTGCATTGCTATTAAATAGCATACAGTAATTAAATTTAAAATACTACCACCATATGAAAATGTCTCACCATGAGACATTTTTCAGTACAACATTCCATGAAAACTCTCAAATCAATTTTTTACCTAGGTCTTCTAAGTAATTTTCATAAAATTCCCCAGGTCACTGCACCAGTTGCTACTTTTCAGCATTGCTACTTCCACAGTAAGAACAGCTTTACTAAAGCTGCTACTCAAGAAACAAGAACAATCCTCATAAATATGGAGGGGATTCCAACATATCTCAGAGAAATGTAAACAAAATCTAAATTTGGTTCAAATCAGACTTAAGCCTACTGTGAACCTAAGAACGGCTCTGGTTTATTTGGAATTTACTAAAACAGTTATCAGCAGGTACTTTAGATATGCAAAGGAGCCAAATTTATCCAACTTACTGTTTTCAATTGGCTTTACAGTTTAAAATTTCTTTTGCCTGGAAGTAACTAAAACTTTCAACTCAACAGTGGTTCTGTATGCTTGATTCTGGGACATTTAAGTTCAGAACCTCATTTTTAGAAGCTCAATACTTACCTCAAAGCCAGAGGCTACTATTACTTTGTGGGATTTGAGTATCACTCACTAAACCCTAACACCTCATTTAATGTTAACTAGATCCCATACAGGTCACATGATTTGAGGAACTTTAATGATTTGTTTTATATGCAAGAAACAGAAGAACTTTTAAAAGGCTCTATAATGAATGTCATGAGAAGTTCTATATTCCAAATAAATTTGATTAGCTTGAATGAAAGTTTCATATTTTTTCAAGCCATCTTTACTAGAATGGAGATTAATTTAGAGCTTACATTCAGTTTTCTTATCATGCATTTCATTCCCTTTCTTGTTTTGCCTGATGAAACCTAAACCTTCCCTTTTATTGAAGGAGTAACATGATCTGTTAAATCAGTAAGGCTATCCAAAACTTCTTTTTCCTTAAAGTTCAATGAAAAAAGCATTTACCTTTGTAGGTCCATAAAACACTTTTGAATTTGTAACTTAAGCAGCACAATTGTTGCAATTCTAAAAAGTGTGTGGCAGACAGTGAGACAAATCTTGTTCTTTCAAATAACTTTATTAATAACCTGACAGCTATGAAATTACACTTTTACTATATAACAACGGGGGGGACAGGACGGGACGGACGGACACACACGGACACGGGACGACACCAAAACAAAAAAAGAAACCCACCCCACATCCAAACCACACACACAAAACTAATTGGAGAATTACCCTTAGTACCTGAGTTTCCTCAGCGAATGGCTTAGAAGGCTACTGTAGATCTTTCCCAAGATCACAGAGGTCTGGAAATACAGGAGCATTACATCCCTTTTAGGACAACCTTCCCCAAGCACTGTTTCCTGCAGAAGGAGGAAATAAATGGATGGTGTATCACTCAAGTACCCAGCACTAATTAGACAACTGCACTTAGGTCTAACGAAAGACGTGGGGATGTGGGGGAAAAAAGGCTTAGGAAGCTTTTATCGTATGTTTTGTTTTTAACCAAAACCAACTGAAAATGAAAAAAGACGACCAACATTAGGGCACGGTTCTGTCGAGATACTACTCGTGGTTAGGACAAGCTATGATTACGATTTACTCAGGGTGTTGGCTTGCCCCTCGTCAATCCTCCTTTTCAAAGCTCACTTCAAGGCACGAATGACAGCGTGCTCCGCTGCGGTAGCGCACGGAAGCGGTCCGCGAAGCCAGCCAGAAACACGGCGATAGGGAGCGGCCGTAGCTAACACGGCCACGGCCGCTCCCTCGGAGGCAGGGCCGGCCCCTCTGGCGGAGCCTCCCGCGGCCGGGCTAATTGGTGGAGCGCGTACAGAGGCGGGCACAGGGAACCTGCCCCGCCGGGAGCTCTTCATCGTCCTAGGAGCCGAGGCAGTGCATGGGGCTGGAGGGCGCCTGGGGACCGGGACGGCAGCAGTCCGCGCTGGGAAGGGCCAGGGGAGCCTTTCGTCGTCTAGCCGAGGGACCCTAGGGCAGCATCGCTGCTGAGGGGGAAGGACAGCAGTGCCGGTGTATGCGGGCGGCGGGGTGCCGGGGCGACAGCGCAGCGGAGAGGGGCGGGGGCAAAGTGATGAGAAGTTGAGGGAGGACGGAGCGAGGGTGCCCTCTCCTCGGCCCAGCCCCGCAGCAGGTGAAGCAGAGCCTGGGCGGAGGCGACAGGCGTGCCCGGCGCCGCAGCGGAGGGGCTTCGGCAGAAGCAGGGCCTCGGGCCGGGCCAGACGGAGCCACGCAGTCCCCGCGCCCACTCGACTGAAGGAAGAGTGCGGCAAGCGGAACTCCGAGTCCCCGCGAGCGGCTGCCTCCAGTCTTCGGCTCGTTACCAAAGGGAGAGGCGCGGAGAAACGGCGCTGAAGGGAGAGCGGTGAGGGAGGCGGGGAGTATCCCTCGGGGGCAGTGGGAGGACGGTCAGGAAGGAGGGCCAGAGGGTCCCGGCTCCGGCGACACGCTCTGAAGTGGCGACGCTGGTGGGGGACGGAGGGTCGCTGCCCGGGCGGGATGGAGGTCGGCTGTCGTTTCACCTTGATGGTTTATTGAGTTTCCCCTTTCCTTCTGCTTTCTTTTCTTCCTCTTTTCCTCCCTCCCGTAACGCAAGAGAAAGACGGGGCGCCTTGCATCACCCCTTGGCGGAGGGTCTGGAGGAAAGGGGGGGGGGGGAGGAGGGAGAGCAATAGCAGGGAGGAGGAGGGGAGCGGGAAGAGCTGTAAACTGATCAGAAAGAAGCCGCAGGGGAGCGGGAGGCTGTGGCAGTGCGATGTCCCTGAGCAAGGGGACGGCGTGAACTGAGAGTGCGGGAGGGGGAGGTCCGTGTCCTTGCGGGGGTGCTGAGGGGCGCCAGAAAAAAGCGCCTTCCCTTGAGGAGAACTTGGGCTGCTGCTGAGGGAGGTCGGGGCTGGTGGGGGCGCAACCGCCCGTTGTAAGAGGTTTTCATCGTACCATCACGGCACCTGTGCGAGGTGAGCGGCAGTCAGGCGGTCTCTTTGGCCGGCCGCCCTCCGGTGCCGCAGCGGGGAGAGACGCCGGGGGGGTGCAGGGTGCCCGCTCTCCTCCTTGAGGAAGTTGATGGCCGTGAGAGGAGCCGTTGGCGCGCGCGCGCGTTACCTGGCGGTCTGAAGGAGCCGGCGGGGGGCGGTGTGTGGGGACACCGGCTGCGGCTCTACCTCAGCCGGGAGATGCGCCGCTGCCCGTCTGCGGGGTGACTTGGCCCTTGGTATCGCCATGAGGCGCTGTCGCCGACAGTCGCCCCGAAGTGGTGTTGAGCAGCCACACTGTTGTGGGTCCTTAGTAAACGTTTTATCATCCGGGTGCGAACTTGAAGGCGTTGGTTTGAGGGACCTCCCTGTGAGTATTTTGTCTGGACGCCTCTGGCGTGTGCTCTTTCTGTGCATGTTACCTTAGTTTTGGTCAAAACTTCCTTGCCTTTGAAGGAAGGGCATGGCGTAACTGGTGCCGTGCCTCTCTTGTGGGTTTTAAAAGATGTAAAATGGTTAAGCACAAACTTTTCTAGCAATACGTCAATAAAGTTGTGGTATTTAGAAGATAGCATTTAATATCTATCTCTTTTATGACTTGTCGGTACTAGCTCTGGAATGATAAGAAATGGACATAAGCTCTGGAATGATAAGAAAACAGTGAAAAATAGCCTGTTTAGCATGCTTATCAGAGTTGCCAGGGTGAGCAGCAGTGGGTAGCTTTAATAGCAGGCATCCTTGAAGGTCTCGCCCCTCCCCAAAGCAAACACTTCGAAAGTAGTATTTTTCTGGGGGGAATAATTCCCATACTTTAACCAGTTTGTAGATATTTATTCTAAAATCGTCTTGGTTGAGTCCCCATCCGAAGCTGCCTACTTCTCCAAGCAGTTCTAACACAAGGTCACTTACATAGTTTAACTGAGCTAGTTTTATAGCACCAACACAACATAGTGTACAATTAACCTTTACTTCACACTTTCTTGTTTTTGTTCTTTTGTTTCAGTCATCAGTCTAGGCTGAACACCACTGCAGTGGCTGCTCTTCCAAAACTACTAATCAGTTCACGCTGAAGTCTTAGACTCTTTCAGGTGGCTTTTGTGCCGTTGTGAAAATGTTGAAATACGAGGAAATGTGTACTTGGCCTGAAATGCTTTTGTTTTTGACTTTTGCACTAGATTTGCCATCAACAGCAGCTCTTTGCCAGAAGCAAGAAAAGAAAATGATGTACTTCTTTAGTCATGTATGTCTTAAGTATATTGGTGAGAGTCATGGTAGAGTACTTTGTAAACTTTTTTTATATTCTTGTATTTTTTTATATTCTTATTTTATATTCTTAGAGTGCTCTAAGCAGTGGATTTTTTTGGAAGCAGGATCTGGGTGGAGAAACCTCTGTAACTCATCAGGGCTTGAGGAGAGGGTGTCAGAGAATCTGTATATCCTTGTTCTGTGCAGGGTAGTGTCACCTGGGCTTTGTGAGAGTCCTCTCCTTACCTGCGAGTGGAGGGCAGCTGACTTGTGAAGGAAGTGGTAATGGGGCAGTGGGCTGGTTTTATACTCTGGTGTGACAACTTCAGCTTGGCAGATGGCTACTAGCTGTTATAGTTTGTTGGCAGTCATTGCAGCTACAATTTGGGCTTTTGAGAAGTAGTGATGGTAAATGGAAAAAATACCACCAAATTTTTCATTTTTATAAACTGTAGGTAACACATATGATTTAAGGATGTTGGAAGACAATATAGATAACTACTTTTTGCAACTCTGAACTTTATAATTTAGAAGTTATAATGTGATTTCCTTCTCTGAAGTAGCACAATTGTCATGACCATAATTTTGTATAAGACAGCAGGTATAGCATTCTTCCTTGCTCTGTGCTGTTGTTTACTCCTTTGAATTGATGGTTTAGCTTCATGGAAAATAAGTGACATGAGTAGTCATCATTTTAATTGCTGAAGGGAGAGTTAATGGACAGTCTTGGGTCAGATTCTGAACTGAGTTGAAAATGAGCCGTTACGCTCCGGTGAAACAATTTCCTTTTTAAAAACAGAAAATTATGAAGGTTCCCTCTGTGTATTTAAGAGGAGCTGGTACAGTAATAGAATCATAGAATCAACTAGATTGGAAAAGGTTATCAAGTCCAGCTTTTGCCCCAGCACTGCTAGGGCCATCACTAAACCACATCACTAGGAGCCTCATCTACACAGTCTGTGAACACTTCCAGGGATGGTGACTCCACCACTGTTGTGGGCAGCCTGTTCCAATGCCTGATTACGCTCTTGGGGAAAAAATTGTTCCTAATATCCAGCCTAAACCTCCCCTGGTGCAGCTTGTGGCTGTTTTCTCTTGTCCTGTTGCTTGTTACTTGGAAGAAGAGACTGACCCCCACCTCATGACAACCTCCTTTCAGGTAGTTATAGAGTGCAGTAAGGTCCCCCCTGAGCCTTTTCTTCTCCAGACTAAACCCTCCCAGTTCCCTCAGCCATTCCTCATCAGACTTGTGCTTCAGACTCATTCTCAGCTTCATTGCCCTTCTCTGGACCTTCTCTGGCACCAAAATGTCTTTCTTGCAGTGAGGTTCCCTGAACACAGTAGTGTGAACATAAAAGGCGGAGGACTGAGTTAATTAAATTAAGACTCTATTCCATTGTAGAAATTTTTCCATGCATGCATCAACACCAGTCTCTAATAAGTTATGTATTTCTTACACATAAGAATTGAGTGTGTAGCTGTCCTACAAACTTCAAACATTAAAATATGACATACAGGGTTTCAGTTGAAGATTTTTTATTCATATGCAGTTACATACAGTAAACTTGATTTGTCTCTGAGCCCCCCTCCACCTCCTTTGTAAGTTACTTGATATAAGTCAAATGAATAAAGCTTTATAATATAATGGCAAGCGCATCAATTCATAAAATAAAGGATTAAAAAAGGAATTGTAATAACTTTCAACAGAAGTGAAGTACTACCATTAAAAAACCCATGGCAGGTACTCGCATATTGTTACGTATATATGCTTAGTTTTCTTCTCAGGACATCATTGTTGTTCTCCCAGTTTCACATTTAAAATGAGAAGCTTCCTGATTCAGAGCAAAGTTGTGTATTTTCTAGAATACGCTATTAATGGGAACAAAGAAGCACATCTCTCTGAATGAAACCTATCTTAGGAACAGACTCCTGGCCAGAATATTGCTCTAAACATTAGAATAATTTAAATGGCATGTACACGTGCAGCTTTGAGATGAAGTGGGAAGTACAGCTGAGGGGCCCACTGCAGCTGACAAACTCGGCGGCATACTGGGATGTGCTTTCTGCAACATGCAGTGCTTGGAGGGGGAAATCTACTCATCTGAATGCAGTTGTACATCTCCTCTTGGCTACACCTGACCATGAACAGTTTGAGAATGCAGATTTAGTTAACATTAATTTGTTTTGTTTCGTGGAAAATGTTCTCTCTTGTCCCAGCAGGTTGAAGGAGGTGATCCTGCCCCACTACTCTGCTCTCGTGAGACCCCACTTTGAGTACTCACTGCAGTTCTGGTGTCCTCAACGTAAGAAGGACATGGAGCTGTTGGAGCAAGTCCAGAGGAAGCCATGAGGATGATCAGGGGCTGGAGCACCTCTCATATGAAGATAGACTGAGAAAATTTGGGCTGTTTAGCCTAGAGAAGAGAAGCTGTATGGAGACCTCAGCCTCTACTGAGTCCTCTACAACCTTCCAGTATCTGAAGGGGGCCTACAGGGATGCCAGAGAGAGGTTCTTCATCAAGGACTGTAGTGATAGGACAAAGGGTGATGGGTTTAAACTGAAACAGGGGAAGTTCAGGTTAGATATAAGAAGGAAGTTCTTTACTGTGAGGATGGTGAGGCACTGGCATAGGTTGCCCAAAAAAACAGTAAATGCTTCATCCCTGGCAGTGATTAAGGCCAGGTTGGACATAGCCTTGGGTGACATGGTGTAGTGTGAGGTGTCCTTGCCCATAGCAGGGGGTTGGAACTAGGTGGTCTTAAGGTCCTTTCCAATCCAGAGCATTCTAATATTCTATGATATGTTTCTATGATTAAATATTTTTATTTAAGATGAAATGTGAAATATATGTAGGAATCAGAGTTATTGTGCCAAATACATAAAGCTTCTCATCCCTCATCCTCTTGGTTATTCAGTAATAAATTATTTTTTTTCAAGTGAGCACTTAACTTGGTTTCTCCCTTCTCACTTTAATAGCTGTTAGGAAGCTGCCATAGTAGTTTCCTGCGTATTTGTTTCAGATAAGATGCAGTGCTTTTGTGCTTTTAAAATGGAGTAGTTAGAGAATGTAGACACTGTACGTGAATAGTTAGATGTTTATTTTGTAAGTTTGCTTGGGCAGCCAGTTCTGCCAATTTATCATAATGCAAACAAGTGCTGAAAAGTACTTTTTTTTTTTTTTTTATAGCATGGATGTGCTAGATGTTAAGCTTGGACTTCGGTAGCAGTATGTTGACTGCAGCATTCTTGACTAGAAGGTTGCTGCCAGTGATGAGCTTTGCAGATGAGGTCTGGCATTGGCAGTACTCAGGAAACAGCATGTGCTGCAGGCAGCGCTGCCTCTGCAGAGGTTGCCCTTGTCAGAATGAACGGGTTAACTGACTCAGAAATGTTGGCTTGAAGGGTCTCTGGAAGGTCTTGTACAAATTTCTGCTCAATACAGAATTCTTGGCAACATAAGAGCAGGTTATCTGTGGCTCCTTTCCATCAAAGTCCTGAACAGAGGTTCCCCATCCTCTCCGGTAACCTCTTCTAGAGCCACACAGCTCTTCCAAGGGAAAAGATTTTTATAGTGCCAGTCAAAACTTTTTAAGCTGCTATTACCATTGCTTCCAGTAATGGCACACTGATAACCAGGGAATTTGGCTTTTATGTGAAGATCTGACAAGGTGGATTGGCTAAACTGGAAACAAATACTTTTTTTAAAAACTTGTTTTGATCAGGTTGCTGCCTGGTTGCCAAGTCTGGCTTGCATCTGTTCCTGATGGTCCTCAGGCCACTAGCTGAAAAGGTGTTTATTGTTTGTAAGCCGTAGGGTGTGTTGGCTGCAAATGCTTTTGTGGTGTATGAGGTGGGTCAGTTTTTCATACAGGAAGCCTGCTGTGCTG